GTGACGGTGTAAAGCCCTATAGTGACGGTGTAAAGCTCTATAGTGACAGTGTAAAGCCCTATAGTGACAGTGTAAAGCCCTCTAGTGACAGTGTAAAGCCCTCTAGTGACAGTGTAAAGCCCTCTAGTGACAGTGTAAAGCCCTATAGTGACAGTGTAAAGCCCTCTAGTGACAGTGTAAAGCCCTCTAGTGACAGTGTAAAGCCCTCTAGTGACAGTGTAAAGCCCTATAGTGACAGTGTAAAGCCCTATAGTGACAGTGTAAAGCCCTATAGTGACAGTGTAAAGCCCTATAGTGACAGTGTAAAGCCCTATAGTGACAGTGTAAAGCCCTATAGTGGGGCTATATTAATACTACAGTAAACTGCTGATGGAGTACAATGGAGGGATTTCAAACCCGTTCCCAAACCTCAGAGCAAGGTCACTGGAACCTGATGATTTATGACACCATTACCTGCTCCCAGAGGCTTTCAGTAACAAACCTACCCAGTTCTCTGCTGGTGCACTTGACCTTTCAAGACCTGTGGTTTCCATCTTGTAAAAGTGCTAAGAGTTTAAAGAGCAAGCACACGTGCAAGTCTCTCACAGGACAGTAAGGTACAATTTACTGCAACAAAAACAGGATATTGCACTTTCTATTCTGTAATATAAACCATTTGATGATTATAACCACCTGTCCTGGAGGGACATGGCGCAGTGTTAAACAAATACACGCTCTGTTTTCCCCAGTTCTTGAAAAGAATTTCCAAATTTACAAGTTTCCAAAATTCTGCAACTTAAACTTTAATACAATGGATAGATACAAGGCTCAGTATTTGGGTCTCAAGTGTGTCCTGTAGTTAGTGGTTACTACGCTCGCCTCGCAAGGGAGAGGACCCGGGTTTGATTCCCAGGCAGGAGGAAATCTTAGGCAAGTTTCCTTACTCCACACACCTGTTTACCTAGCAATAAGTAGTAACCCAGCGGTTAGTTGATTGGCGGATCACTTTCCCTTCCCCCAAAAAATAGTAATAAAAATAATAATAATTTGGTCATGCAATCCACGACTATTTATGGGACCCTGTGATGCACAATTTCCTGCTGCGTTTTGCCCACAAAATATACCGTCAATTAACTTTACAGTATATTTTGTGAAGCGTTCAACGTCTCAACGATGTGGTAAGGCGCTGTATCAAATAATAATAATAATCATTGAATTTGATACGGCACCTTATCACGTCTTCAAACGTCTCAAAGCACTTCACAGAATATACTATAAAGTGCATTGACTGTATATTTTGTGGGCAAAACGTGGAAGTCAATTGCGCACGGCAGCGTCCCACAAACAGTCGTGGAATGAGTGACAAACTCATTTTTTAAAACATTTTTGAAGGGATAATTATCCCTGAAAAAGCGATCCGCCAATCGACTAACAACCGGGTTCCTACTTACTGTTAGGTAAACAGAAGTGTGTGGAGTAAGGAACCCAAGATTTTGCCCGCCAGGTCTCTCGCTTGCGAGATGAGTGTTCTAACCACTGAGCTACAGGTTACCTGTGTAGATAGGATTTAGGTTCAAACTTGGTATCCAAAGGACACTGCAGCCCTCCCCCAGTACCACACTGGAGTGTCTGTCTCCACTGTGAACGCAGGTCCTGATGTGGGTCTCTATCCCCACCCTTGGAACTCCATCCCACAGCCGCTTTGCCCTCGCTAGTGTGTGGAGTAAGGAAGCTTGCCTAAGATTTCGCCCCGTCTGGGAATTGAATCCAGATCCTCTCGCTTACAAGGTCGCTCTAACCACTAAGCTATAAGACTCCAGATGCAAGGTTTATTATTATTATTATCTGAAGAGCTGCCAAACCTCACAAGTGAAGACGGGTGACTTGCTCAATCCCCTCATCCCCTCCACCTGTCAGGGCCTTCAGCAGAGGTGGATTATAAACATCACTCACCAAGCGAATTGATGTAACTTCAATTCTCATTTTTGACAAGTGTTTCAGTTGAGGAATAATTTTAACAGTAATAATGCTTGTATTATATATAGTGCGTTTCATATCAGGAGGAGGTCTCAAATGCAAGATTTACAGTAAATGTAGCGATTATTTTGCAGATGAACAGCAGACAATCTGCATACAGCAGAATCCACAAACAGTCCTCTGCGAATGGTCACTTGTTAGCTGGGGATTGTTGGCAAATTCCCTCTCCTTTCACTTTGAACTATGGCATCTTAAACGTCCACCTGGACAGGCAGGCCGGATCTTGGTTTAGCATTTGCCTAAAAACGAAACAGTTGCTACACTTTCAGGAAATCCGTGAAGCGCTTTAATAATAACAATCCTTGCATTTGATATAGCATCTTCTAGACGTCTCGAAGCGCTTCACAGAATATACTGTAAAGTGAATTGACTGTATTTTGTGGCCGAAACCGGGCAGCCAATTCCGCACAGCAGCGTCCCTCAAACAGCCATGGATTGAGTAACCAAATTATTATTATGATTTTTTTGAGGAATTACGACCCCTGGAAAGTGATCTGCCAATCAACAAACAACCAGGTTTTTACTTACTGCTCAGTAAACGGAGGAGTATGGAGTAAGGAAATTTGCCTAAGGTTTTGCTCCGTCCGGAATGGAACCCAGGTCCTTTTGCTTACGAGGTGAGCACTCTAACAACTACACTAAAGTACTCCACGAGCTTCCTATCCACCCAGGGGATCAATACGCTTTGAGTCATCTTCCTGATATGAAAGGCACTATATAAAAGGATTATTATTACGTTACAGAAGTTATACGAGTACTGGGGGTTACTTATAAAGACCTGAGGTCCTGCTGATCTCTATCTGCCAGTGACCAGAAACCACATTTATCTAAAGTAAACAAGGCACTCTTGCCCAATCTCACGCCCACACATTTCACATGTACAATATGTATTGAATGAATCCAAATTCATTCACTGGAAATGAATGAGAAATCTTTGAAAGAAAAGTTTCTCCCCGTCCCTTGATTGTTTAAACTTTAATTGTAAATATTGCTGTATCTGCTGGCACATCCCATCCACATAGCAGATCCTCATTCTCACACTCAAATCCCTCCACATAATAATAATTTGATACAGCATCTTATCACGTCTTCGAGACGTATCAAAACGCTTCACAGGATATACTGTAAAGTGAATTGACTGTATATTTTGTGGGTGAAACACGGCAGCCAATTGCGAACAGTAGTGTCATGCATTGAATGACCAAATTATTTTTAATTCTTAGATTTTTTCTTGAAGGGATTATTATCCTCGTAAAGTGGGCCACCAATCGACTAACAATCGGGTTCCTACTTACTACTAGGTAAACAGAGGCGTATGGAGTAAGAAAACCTGCCTAAGGTTTTGCCCTGCCCGGGAATCAAATCCAGGTCCTCTTGCTTGCGAGGCGAGGGCTCTAACCACTGAGCTACAGGACTCAACATAACTTTACCTCAGACCCAAAGGTCTGTGCCTTCCTGCACCGCCGCTTCTCTGCTCAGCGAGCACTGTCCTCCTCACCATTGTCGGCCAGGCCTTCAGCCATTCTGCCCTGCTCTCTGGAAGTCCATCCCAGAGTCCCTAAGTCTCTCCCCACCTCCCTTCTTCCCCACTTTTAAAACCTTAAGATCCATCTTTTTTGACCGCACTTTTGGTCATCCTTCCCCCCACTCAGCACGGGTGCCCTGTCGACTCTGTGAAGCGCTTTGAGAGGTCCTCCTGACATGAGAGACACTGTATAAACCTGACATGTGACTTTTTCTTTCTGTAATAAATAGCTTCAATTGCCAATTGCAACAATAGTTCTTTATAGAATGATCTTATGAAACTTAATGCATATTATAATAATAATACTTCAATTGATATAATGCTTTTCACGTCTTCTCGACGTCTCAAAGCGTTTCACAGAATATGCTGTAAAGTGAATTGACCGTATATTTGTGGGCGAAACTTATAACTTATAATAGTAAGTTAATAATAACAATCTCTCAAAATGTGCCAGCGTGTCAAAGGGTTGAGAGGCTGAAAACATGCAGTATTAACAAGCACACCCAGTCCCTTCTCTACAATCACTTTCTTCTTCAACACGTTCCATTCTTCCCAGATTATAAGAACAGAACGTATCCAGGGACACGTTTACATCCTGAAGAATACACTGAGATCAAAGATGAAAGTAAGTTGATGGTCTGTGTTTCACAACCAGACATTAAAGCAGATATTTATTACCACACAGCAGATTCCCTAAAGATAACAGGAAACAACCCGGCCAACAATATTTGGATTTCAGCGGCTGACTAACAGCTTGGGAGCCTGAGCAGTTGTCAATTGTTTTTCTCTCAACACAGTTGATGACAACACATTCAATTAATTCTAGAACATGCAATGACTAGCTGTCTGTGCTGTTGCAGTGAATCGAGGTCAAAACAAGCGCTGTCAAACAAATCGGTTCATTCTACAACATCCTTACTAAATTGAGTCACTGGGGGCAGGGAATCCTCCCTCTCAGCTCCTGTTAACCCCACAGCCAAATCCCTAACGGGGAGGGTGGTCCTCGCTGGACAAGCAGCGGGAAAGCTTGGCCAGACAGCAATATCAATGACCAAGCTGTGTGGGTTTAGCTAATTTATTGTTGTGTTATATATATATATATATACACACACACTACCTGCATGTCCCTCGTGCCCTCCGTTCCGTTCCACCATGGCCGCACTTTCAGCCACTACACCCCGAAACTCTGGAAAACTCTTCCTCTATCCCTCCGCCTCACCTTCTCCTTTCTTCCCTATTTTCAGGTCATGCCTTAAGACCTTCCTCTTCAACTTTTCCCACGGTCACCTCCCCCTCTTTTGGCTCAGCGTTGTCATGCCAGTTGTTACTGTTGTTGTTGTTGTCCTCCTAAACTCCTAGATGTAATTCTGCCCTGAGACCTTAATTCTCTTTACAATTTATCACGGTCAATTCCGAACGGTTGCAGTGTCTTTTGGCAAAGATAAATCAATGTACTTACTCTCGCTCCTTCTCTGAAAGCTTGTCAGTGATGTTGTCCCTGATGATGGACCTGGAGCCCTTCTGGATGATGGGATACCTTAGCGGCACTTGTAAGAAGTAGGATATCATGAGCACAAGATGTGCCGTGTAACCCAAGGCAACAGCAATGCTTCCATCGTCCTTTGCTTTGAAAGAAAGAGAATACCAGGCAATAATCACCAATTACAAGCAGTCACTGAACACAACCATGATTCAGAACTCACGCACACTAAACTCCGTACCCCCATCATCCCAGCCATAGCCAAGCTCTACTGGCTCACAATCACAGAACGCATCGATTTCAAGATCTTCACACTCGTTTACGAATCCCTTCATGCCTCTCTATCTTTCTGACCTACTTACTCCCCAACCCACTATCCACTGCCTCCGCCACGTGCTTGTTCCTCATCCCCAATGCCCCACTATCGGCTGCTGCGCTTTCAGCCGCTACGCCCCAAAGCTTTGGAATTGTTTCCCCCAATCCCTTCCCCTCTTTTCGATCACAACTGAAGACCTTCCTCTTTGACCGTGTTTATAGGCATCTCCCCACTCCCTCCAGCTTGGTATCAGGCTCTGCCACTGTTACACGCTCTGAGACGCTGCCTTGTGTATAATCGCAAGCTGTTGTTGTTACTACAAGGTATGAAGACCATTGCCCACCTCCACCCAAATGTGGCCAAAATCCTTATTCACACCTTTACCTCCTGCCTAGGCTTTCCTATCGCACCCCTCGCTGGTATTCCTGGCTCCACAAACTTCAAATCATCGAAAATATCGCTGCTCACATTCTCTCCTCACCAGCTCCATTATCGATCACAGCAGATCTGGTCTGGCTTCCCACCTCCTCACAGCTTCAGCTTCTCCGCCCCTTCCCTCCTCGACTCCTCTGGCCATAACCTGACTTTATCCAACCGCCTACTGCTTCTCCCTCCCCTCCCTCTACTTTGAAGGTGGCAGGATAGTAGATAAAGCTGTTAAAAAGCATCTGGGATACTAGGCTTTATAAATAGGGGTATAGAATACACAAGTCAGGAATTTATGATGAACCTTTATATAAAACACTGGTTGGGCCTCAGCGAGAGACTGTGTTCAGTTCTGGGCCCCACACATGAGGAAGGATGTCAAGGCATTGGAGAGGGTGCAAAGGAGATTGACCAGGATGGTACCAGGAATGAGGGGCTTCAGTGATCAGGAGAGGCGAGAGAAGCGAGGGTTATTCTCCTTGGGGCAGAGAAGGTTAAGAGGAGACTTTATAGAAGTCTTCAAAATGATGAGGGGATTCGATAGGGTGAACAAAGAGAAACTATTCCCACTGGCGGGTGGGTCGGTAACCCGAGGGCACCGATTTAAAATAGTTGTTAAAAGAATCCTCAACACTTATCCTCCATTTCGACTATCTTTGAGGTGGGGAGGTAAGCAGCGTCTCTTTGGAGCTGAACTGGTCCCATGACTTGTTTGGCAACAGAATGTCAGAATCAATTCCTCCCTATGTGCCGTTCTCTAGTCCCGGTTCTGAGCCAGGAGGGGCCGCAGTGTCCCAGGGCATTCACTGCTGATGGCAGCACAGCCCGGCCCATCAGCAGGACCTGGAAGGGCCGACCAGTCACTGGGGGCCGGGAATCCTCCCCCTCAGCTCCTGGTAACCCCACAGACAAAGCCCTAACGGGGAGGGGGGTCCTCGCTGGACAAGCAGTGGGAAAGCTTGGCCAGACAGCGATAGCAATGGCCGAGCTGTGTGGGTTTAGCCGGTTAGACTCCAGCAGTTACCCCAACACACACTCTGGGCTCCCCCCAAGCCTTGGCTCTCGCCAACCTGCGCCTAATACTCTCCGGAATTAGATAAGCAGAAGATGTCCCTTCAGGGAGAGAGAGAGAGGGAGAGAGAGCGCATTGATAATAATAATCCTTGCATTTTGATATAGTGCTTTTCACATCTTCTCGACGTCTCAAAGCGCTTCACAGAATATACTGTAAAGTGAATTGACTGTATGTTATGAGGAGATTCGATAGGGTGAACAAGGAGAAACTACTTCCACTGGGAGGTGGGTCGGTAACCTGAGGACACCGATGAAACGCGGCAGCCAATTGCGCACAGCAGCGTCCCACAAACAGTCATGGATTGAGATGACCAATTTATTATTGTTTTTTTTTCTTGAGGGATTATTATTGTGTGTGGAGTAAGGTTTCAAGCTGCTGGGAATCAAACCCAGGTCTCTTGCTTGCGAGGCGAGTGCTCTAACCCTTGAGCTGCAGGACTCCACAGGCATTCGATTCCCACAATCTCTCTGGGGTTTCCATGTGCAGGAGGGATGCAGGGAAATCTCAGTTTGGTTTGGAGACTCTTAAGCAACGGTGATGGGTTTCTGCATCTGTCAGACACCCGGCTGGGCAAAACAGAAACCTCCATCTCAGTGAATCTCGTTGAATATATGCGTTGGAGTCCGTTTTAAAATAGCTAACTTTTCATTCATTTCATCGACCTGCTTTTTATGTAAATCTCACCTGTGGATGCCCTCTGAAATCCAGGTAGATTGTATCTGCTAAATTGCCTTCCTCTCCCAATTTAGTTGCTTCCTGGAAGAATTCCTGCAGTTTTGTGAGGCGTGTGTGACCTACCATTCACAAAGCCATAAGGCCTTTTGTTTTCTACTTTGTTTTGTTTTTAATAAACTCTATTGGTGCCTCAGCAAAACACAACCACTGAGATTTGAGAATTAAGGACCATATCGCAATAGTGCAGACTAATAAGCCAGCTGGCAATCTCCCCCTCTATGGGGTGGCCAGAGAGGTAAGGGATGCAGGGAGAGCTGTAGATAACAAGGTGCCCAGAGGGACTCGGATAAAGATTTTAAATGTTAAGGCTTATGGGGTAGAACAGAATTTTTGGATTTTTTGAAAATCAATGATAATTATCCTTGCACTTGTTCTAGCTTTCATGTCAGGCAGTTGTCTCTCAAAGAGCTTCACAGATTTACTCTAAAGTATAGAGAATGTATAATTTAACGTTGATAAAACATAGATTTGTATAGAATACAGATACACCATATCCCCACCGTGTAAACTTTCACAACTTTATATCTTTTATATAGCGCCCTTCACTTTGGGTAACGTGTGGAAGCGTTTTACTGTGAGGCCTTACACCAGGGGAGAGGGTGGAGAAGTAGGTGAGGGGGAGGGCAAGGAGGAGATTACAGTAGAGGGGAAGGGAGAGATGACAGTGGGGGAGGGGAAGATGACATTAGGGAAGGGGAAGAGGGAGGGGGAGATGATAGTATCATAGAATCATAGAATTATACAGCACAGAAGGAGGCCATTCAGCCCATCGTGTCTGTACTGCTCTTTGAAAAGAGCTTCCAAATCAACCCCACTCCCCCGCTCTCTCCTCATAGCCCTGCAAACTTGTCCTCCACAAATAATTGTTCACCCTATCGAATCCCCTCATCATTTTGAAAACTTCTATTAAGTCTCCTCTTAACCTTCTCTGCTCCAAGGAGAATAACCCTCGCTTCTCTCGCCTCTCCTGATAACTGAAGCCCCTCATTCCTGGTACCATTCTGGTCAATCTCCTTTGCACCCTCTCCAATGCCTTGACATCCTTCCTCAAGTGTGGGGCCCAGAACTGAACACAGTCTCTCGCTGAGGCCTAACCAGTGTTTTATGTAAAGGTTCATCATAACCTCCTGACTTGTGTATTCTATGCTCCTATTTATAAAGTCCGGTCTGTTTTTTTAACAGCTTTATCTGCCTGTCCGCCACCTGCAAAGGTTTACTATATGACCCCCAGGTCTCTCTGTCCCTTCACCCCCTTTAAGATTGTAATAATAATAATAATCCTTGCATTTGATATAGCACTTATCACGTCTTCTATAGTGTAGTGACCCTATATTTGTGGGTGAAACACGGCAGCCAATTGCACACAGCAATGTCCCACAAACAGTCGTGGATTGAAGTGACTAATTTATTATTATTATTTTCTTGAGGGATTATTAGGCGTGTGGAGTAAGGAAACTTGCCCAAAGTTTCGCCCTGCCAGGAATCGAACCCAGGTCTCTCGCTTGAGAGGCGAGTGCTCTAACCACTGAGCTACAGGACTCCACATCCATCAGCTTACATCGCCTCTCCTCATTCTTCCTCACAAAATGCACCAATTTGCTTTTCTCCCCATTAAACCTCATCTGCCCCGTGTCTGCCCATGTTACCAGTCTGTCTATGTCCTCCTGCCGTCTGTTACTATCCTCCTCACTGTTTACTACCTTTTCTCGCTTAGTATCATCTGCAAACTTGGGAATTGTCCTCCCTATACCCAAGTCCAGGTCATTTATATAGATCACAAACAGCAGTGGCCCCAATACCGACCCCGGGGGGACACCACTGCACTGCCCTCCAGTCAGAAAAACAGCCGTTCACCACCACTCTCTGCTCTCTGTCTCTCAGACAGTTCTGTATCCGCTGCCACTGTCCCTTTAATACCGGGGGCTTCGATTTTGCTACAAGTCCCTTATGCGGCACTTTGTTAAATGCCTTTTGAAAATCCCTATAAACTACATCACCAGCACTGCCTTCATCCGCCCTCTCCGTTACTGCATCAAAAACCTCTATCAGGTTTGTTAGACACGATTTGCCTTTAACAAACCCGTGTTGACTGTCCTTTATTAACCCATATTTTTCTAAGTGAAAGTGTATATTGTCTCGGATTATAGTCTCTAGAAGTTTCCCCACTCCTGACGTTAGGCACTGGCTGTAGTTCCCGGGTTTATCCTTCTGCCCCTTTTTGTACAGGGAGTAACATTTGAACCCTCCAGTCCTCTGGCACCGTCCCGGTGTCCAAGGAGGATTGAAAGATTGTGGCCGGAGCCTCTGCTATTTCCACCCTGACTTCCCTCAGTAACCCTCAGGATGTATCCTGTCCGGACCAGGTGACTTATCTGCCTTGAGCACTGACAACCTTTTTAGTGCCTCCTCTCGGTTTATTCTTCTTATCTTATCCAATTTCTCTATTCCCGTCCCCCTTCACTCTCCTTCTGAACCCTCTGTGGCTGTGGGGGGTGACCACCTCCTGAAACGTTCGATCCATGAACTCTTCAGCCTTCCATATGGTGACACCAACCTCTCCTCGAGCTCAGAAACCCTGAGCTGAAGCTTGAGC